GGGTTTAAAGCCCCCGGGTCCAGGACACGAACCGCGGTCGACTACGTGGGAATCCAGCGACATAGCCATTACGCTAACTGCTGGTTCCCAAGAGATGAAAATTTTGATTAGTTCTATACCCATTTTTAAAAATCGAATCTGTAACAAATCTTCCCACAAGAAAACACTCTAATTAAAGATAGATTCACAGGTAAATTAATCTAAATATTTAAAGAATATGCCTTAGCCACCATGCCACCTGCTGGATCCAAAGATTAATTTTCTATTTGTTTGCTGCCAGTACATAGAAACTAACTGGTATTTTAAAAATATATTGACATTGGGGCCGTCACTCTCCAACGCCAGCCCTGCCTGTAGCTTGCCGACTTCCAGTGGAAGAAGGGAGGTAAGAGAGAAGGTCTCTTTACCATGGCTCATACAAAGCAGATAGCCCGCAAATCCACCAGTGGTAAAGCACCCAGGAAGCAACTGGCTACAAAAGTCTCTCGCAAGAGTGCACCCTCTACTGGAGGGGTGAAGAAACCTCATCGTCACAGGCCTGGTACTCTGTCACTCCGTGAAATTAGATGTTATCAGACGTTCACTGAACTTCTGATTCGCAAACTTCCTTTCCAGAGTCTGGTGCGAGAAATTGCTCAGGATTTCAAAACAGATCTGCGCTTCCAGAGCGCAGCTATTGGTGCTTTGCAGGAGGCAAGCGAGGCCTACTTGGTTGGACTTTTTGAAGATACCAACCTGTGTGCTGTCCATGCCAAATGCATAGCAATTATGCCAAAAGACATGCAGCTAGCACGCTGCATACGTGGAGAATGTGCTTAAGAATCCACTATGATGGGGGAAACCAGCAGTTAGCATAATGGCTATGTCGCTGGACTCCCCACCCGGTGGCTTAAAACTCAGCTTAAAACTCATGCAAGGGCGCATGTGCGTATATGCCCAAGATCCCGACAGAATGGAAGAGAAGGGATTGCGGCGTGACCATGCCCCCTGGGGGGTGATTTCTCGCTTTCTGTCTCTATGTCTCTCTCTTATCTGTCTGGCGAGCGCGCGTGTCCTATAGCGAAAATCTCTCCAAAAAAAAAGAAACCACTGTGATGGGAAACATTTCATTCTCAAAAACAATTTTTTTCCCTCCTCTTCCTGTTATTGGTAGTTCTGAACATTAGATTTTGTTTTTCCATGGTGTCAAAAGGTACCTAAGTATATGATTGCGGGTGGAAAATAGGGGACAGAAATCGGGTATTGGCAGTTTTTCCATTTTCATTTGTGTTTGGATTTTTAATATAAATGCGGGGATGTAAAGCATTAATGCCAAGTCAAAATGTTTCGGTGAACAAGTTTCAGAGTTCAACTTTATAACGATTATAAATAAACCTGTTAAATTTTTCTGGACAATGCCAGCATTTGGACTTTTTAAAACAAGTAAATTTCTTATTGACAGAAAATATATATATATATATACACATTGGATTAAGTGGCCTTGATTAAGCCATTTATTAATTTTTATAGTGTACAGAGACCTTTGTATTTTCTACATACACAATCATTTATTGTGTAATTTTTTTTTCTTTCCCAATTCTTTTTTTCTTTTAAGAAAGGTTTTTCTGTAGGGTGTGTACAATCACTGGAAAGACAGAGAGAAACAGAAAGTGAGAAATCACCCCCAGGGAGGATGGCTACACCACAATCTCTTCTTCATTCTCATCTCGGGATTTTGAGAATTATCTATCTAAATGTGAAAGAAAAAACAGTTAAGCATCTAGAAGATACTGTAGATCATCTTTATAGTATTATAGTATAGGACATTATCTTTAACATTAAAACAAAATAAAGGAAAACATTAATTTATCTTTACCAAAAGACACCATTAATATCAATGTTTGATGATAAAAACCTTAATGGTGAAACTAAAAGTATAGCTTAATATCACCAATTAATGTACATGTAGAATTCTAAATATAGTAACAAATACAATCTATAAGTATGGCAAAGAAATAATATATATCATCACAAATTAATCAATTGCTGCAGTGAGAATTCAACTGTCTTAGTCTCAATGTCCCTCTTATATTTATTTCATTTTATCCCTACGTTATTTTCTCCATTGGTACACAATAACTTTTTTTTTAATTAGAGGTTTTTGCTATAGGGTGCGTGAGCTCACCAGAAAGACAGAGAGAGACAGAGAAACAGAAAGCAAAAAATCACCCCCAAGGGGGGATGGTCACGCCGCAATCCCTTCTCCTTTACTCTCCTCTCGGGATCTTGGGTATGCATGCACATGCGCCTGGCGTGAGTTTAAGCCACCGAGTCCGGGACTTGAACCGCGGTCGACTCCATGGGAGTCCAGCAACATAGCCATTACACTAACTGCTGATCCCCACAATAACTTTTTGAATGTTATATCTGCATCGCACCCAGTTTGTCTCACAGGGTATCAATTTAATTTACATTGCCTGAAAAGATTTCTTAGTACTACTCTGCCTTTTGTATTTCTAGGTTGCCAATGCCCTGTTATTGGTTGCAAGTTATAGATAATGATACATAATTTGGAGAATAAGATTAGAAAGGAGATTTTTAAATACTCAAATGTACTGATTAGCTCACTTATTGTCATATAACCTGAGACAAAAGGTATTAGGAATACTTAAATTCCTGACTCAGAATTTTTGGTCCAGATTACTGCTATGCTTTGAATATGGTTTGTCAAAAATTCATGTTGAGGTTGGGTTCCAGTATAGCAGTTTTGGAAGGTGAGCCTAATGGGAAGAGATTAGGTCATGAGAACGCTACCCTTGTGAATAGATTAATGGCATTCTCATGGGAGTAGTTAATTATCATTGGAGCAGATTAATTACTGCAAAATCCAGTTTTTATAAAAGAGAAAGCTCAGTCTTTCTCCTTTACCTTTTGCATGAACACCACTACCCATTCTCACATATTCCTGCCATGTGATGTCCTCTACCATGCTATAAAGCAGCATGAGACCCTCGCCAGATATAGTCACCAGATCATGAACTTCCCAGCCTCCAGAACTATGAGCTAAATAAAACTCTTTTCTTTATAAATTACCCAGTCTCAGGGTTTCTGCTATTGCAACAGAAAACATACAACGACAACCACCTTTTACAAATTATAGAATTTTCATAGCCCTAAGTATATTGTATCCTGTCCAGTGGTGTACTAGGATCCTTCATAATGAATTTACAATGCAAATAATAGTAACACAATCTTTCCTAACAATTTATGTACCATCCCAGATCCTCTTGTCTTCACTCCCATCCTAGGCCCACATCAACTGCCTTACTTCCTTATGAGAAGAAACACAGCATGTTGTTTCTGCAGTCACAGAGCCCAGGCCACTGCCACTGTCACTGTGTTGTTCCAGCTACAAGTTGAGGAGTTGTCTAACATAGTGTCACTTAACAAGAGAGATTATTTCATATGCAAACTAAGCAGACCAGAACCAAGGAAGTACAGGGGACATAATACCCTAGGGAGCAGACTATGACAAATGGGAGACTGGCTAGTCAAGAGAGCTGACAGATAAATTATTTTCCATTTCTTCCACTTGGATATACTGTACTTAGATGCTATAATTTTATATGTCCTTACTGAAGACATTATATGAAATAAGATAAGAAAGTTTATTTTTGTTGAAAAGTTATATCCTGGTAGGCAACTCATCCCCTTGTATTTGTGTTTCCCTTACTCATTTCTCTTTTACTCTCATTCTTGTTTCCTTGAATTACATGCACATTTAAACAGTGTCATAAGGTAAGCTTTTGACCTAGTCTCTGTTTTCTAGTCCTGCGCTAAAAACAAAATATAACTGGGCTGGCTCATAGCCTACTGATTAAAGGTGCTGGATCCCTCATAGCCAACCATGATTCAAATCCTGGTCCCAGAAACTTCAAGCCAGGCCAGGTATATGTATGCACATGCCTAGAATCCAAATGAGATGGAGAAGTTGAGGAGAAGGGACTATGGCATGACCACACTGTACTAGAAGGTATGTCTATCTTTGTTTCTGCCTCTCTCTCTAGCTAGAGGACATGCCTTCCGGCAATTAAAAAAAAAACTCAACAATAGGATTCAAAGGTAGTGAAGTGGTAAAATGCTTCACTCTGAGAGGCTGACCCACATGGAAGGTTCCAAGTTTGCATCCAGAAACCTCCCTGAGTACACCAGGCATGCATATGCCCAGGATCTGAGTCTGATGGAACCTAAGAGTGTTAGTGCAGTTTTGAGACTCTGTTGCAGTCTCCAATACTATCTCTTTGTCTCTCACTTAATGAAAGTAATAAACAAATAGACTTTTAAAAACACCCAAACTATTATTATTATTTTTAATCCAATAAGCTCTATAGTATAAGACTTTACCAGTAGCATCTCACTGCACAAAGCCTCAAAAAGACCAAGGTTGGGGCCAGCAAGTGGGGTGGTGGTTAAGGTACTGGACTTTCACATGGCTGACCAGGGTTTGCGTCCCAAACCTGGCAGCTTGCTTTCTCACTTTCCCTCTCCCTCCTTCTCTATTTGAAGCACACTTCCCCATAACAAATTAAAAAATAATGATGATGATAAATAAAATTAAATAAATAATTTTTTAAAGATAGTAAACTTAAAATATTTTTGTCTATGGAGAAGAAAAAATTTTTGTAAATAGCCAGACTAATAGAATATAAAAATTTCTTAAACAAGGTATGCTGTATGGAAGTTGGAGGATAATGTTAAGAATAGATTACAGTTGGTAAGATACATGATTGTATATAATAAAAAAGTAAGGAAAACATAAAAATATATTTATAAAAAGCTTGAAGGAAATATTAGTCAAATTTTATAAACTAGAGGTTCCCTGACCAAAACCCTAGAAATCATAAAGGGAAAATATGTAAGATTTAATCACCTGTACATAATCACCTATAAAGGAAAAAAAAATAAACATAAGTGAATTAAATATCCACCAGGTTCTCTTACTTTTAAGGCACCAACATTTAGCTAAGTTGACCAAGTTTCCTGAGCATTAAATAAACAATCTTCTGTGATATTTTGACTTCTCATGTATCATTGATCTTGGGGAGAGAATGTTCTGAAAAGCAAACACTAAGAATCTAGTCTGCTTAATAATTATGTTTCCTACAGTTACACAAATTATATTATTATTTTTTATTATAAAAAGAAATTCCAGGGCCAGCAAGTAGCATAGTGGTTAAGGCACTGGACTCACTTGTGATTGACTATGGTTCAAGTCCTGAACATGGCAGCTTGAAACACACACTAGGTGTGTTTCATTCATGCCCAAAATTCCAATAGGAGAATGGAGAAGGGATTGCAGCATGGACATCCCCTCTGGGCAGTGATTTCTTGCCTTCTATCTCTCTGTATCTCTTTATCTCTCAAGCAAGCACTCACACCCTATAGCAAAAATCTCTTTAAAAAAAATCCCACTCTATTTGATAGCATGTTATGTCCCTACAAACTTAGAAATGCTCAACCAATAAGGAAGTTCTGTGCTCAAACACAAATGCTTGTATCATACCTACTCTTTCACTGTTTAAAACAATGGTCCATGGGGCCAGAGATTGACACAGCCCGCTCTCATGATCTATTGGAATTACATGCTCATGAATCTGTAAGGATAAAATTATCCCCCGGAAGTCTTCCTTTCCTCCCTCTCTCTTCCCCGTCCTCCCACACCCATCCCCAAACACACACATGGTCCAAGCCCTTAGCATAGTCCTGAGAGGGCACCAGTGGAGAGAGCAGGGCAGGGAGAGATACTGCTCTGAAAAGCAAATATCCCTTACCCTCTTTAT